CTGTCACATAGGTGAATTTATCCCATATGGATGACTCCACCTAATATGGATGACTCCACTAGTCTTCCATGTAAGATCTCACAGATGGAAATTTGGCTTAGTTTTCACCTGCATGTTGTGTTGCTGCTTGATTGTGTGGGTCATTGTGGAGGTTGATGCTTGAACTGTCTCCTTCCTATGGGTTTGGTCCTCAGCTGACCAAAGGCACTGAGGAAGGGAGAGGAACTACAGCAGGCAGTTTGAGGAAGTCCAACTGAAATCTCAAGTTTTCCTGTGTGATCTTTTGTCTGAGGAAGAAGATAGAAGCACTAACTTTCCTGATTTCATCACTGTTGATGCTTTTCCCCTGGTCCTCCAGAGGTCTGGGACATGGGAAAATTTCTGATTGGCAGGAGTGAGTTGACCTTAAATTCTGGGGGAACCAGCAATTGCATTTTCAGCAGTGGAGAAAGCTGTCTACCACTGACGAAAGCTTAGTCGGCTTGCACTTCTCTCAAAGTGAGTCTCTTGACAGCTGAAGCTGTCAGACCTCCACAGCCAAGGCTCTCTGCCCTAGCTGTCTGCTGCTGTGCTCCAGGTGAGCAGTGCACTGGGAAAGCATTCAGCTCTGGTCAGTATTTAAAAGAAAAAACACCCACACCACAAGAAAACAAACAAACCGTGAAACCCCGAACCTGACCTGGAGAAACAGCTGATGAAATAGGACAGTGAAGGTTTTCAAGCAACAAAATTTAACTGCCTGAGAGGCCTAACACAGTCCCCACCTTGTGAGAAGACAGACTGAAGGGAGGGTAGGGGGGGGCTAGTGCACAGGTGTTCCTTCGTACTCCAGGCCATGTCCAGCAGCCTCTCCTCCCATGGCCTGATGGGCTGACAGAGCCATTCACAGAAAAATAGTCTGTGTCATTAACGTCCAAAAACTGTCCAATTCATGATGTAGTTGAGATGGAACTGTCACAGAAATATTTAGGGAGATGTGCAAAATTGAAGGCCACCCTTATAATAGAAAAATGCATATATAAAAAATAAACATATGTAACTGAACGAAAAATCTTGTCTATGCCTTTAACCAGGAAATATCTATTTCTATGCAGATATTTTTGGACCTAAAGAAAAGCCCTAAATAACTTATAAAAAAATAGGAGGCAGAGCTTTTTTTTTCCCCTTCAAATGCAGCACAGGTCTGGATCTGTTCCACAGATGATCTAAATGACTTTGATGGTTTGTAGCAGCACATGAAATATTTGTAGCTAAGTAGAGAACTAAAATTTAAAGACTTGGTAGGATACTTGAGCTGTCAGGATAGATGGTTATCTTATTAGTCACTTACATAGACTGATTGCTTCTAGTTTAAAAAGAAAATGGTTTTTGATTTCCATTTGTTTCTGGGCCTGGTTTTGTGTTAACATTTTGGAAAACTTTTGAGTATACTGTATCTGAACCTAGGAAAGAATAAGTTACGATGAATAATTTATTTGAGAAACTTCTTTTTACTATTCATGGCTTATTTGTGAAGTGCTGGTATTTTTTCAGAAATGTTTTTAGAATTTAAAATGCATCACTGGACACTTTTGTGGTGGTTTAGTGCACAAATGTTGGTGTTGTTTGGGGATATGATTGTGGTACTACTCTGATTTTGTATTTTAAGCCTATTCTTTACATATTCCTTAACATTTCTTATTTTTGATAGTTCAGTGGGGTATATTTATGGAAATTAACTGCATAAAGGGCACACAGGTCTTCAAGATAAATTCAAAAACTTTAATGAACTGTTCATAAGCTTTTATTCCTACTCAAATTTAATAGTGGTGAAAACACTCCTGAAACACACTGTAGTTTCTGGGAAAAATGTAGAAATGCATTCTTGATTTAGATTTTTTACTAAATGACTACTTCTGGAAGTCTTTTGTTCAAAACATAAAGTGTTTTCAGCTTCTGCTTTATGGTTCATTGGTACATTATACAGTCCATCTTATTTAACTAGGAGTATGGTCAGCCATGTTGTATTTTTCTACCCATTTATTTTCATTTACTTTTTGCTATGCTATTCAAATTTCTGAAAGCAGGTGAAATTTCCCCCTTTTCAAGCCAGTTAGGACAAAGGAAGGTCAAAGGTCTGGAGTGGTCTTTATCAATGTCTGAATTTCACTGTGTTTCCACTTACATTTAGCCTGAGGTTTTATATGCTGTTTTAAATGGGGGAAAAAAAAAACCAAAACCAAAACATCACATTCATTTGCGAATAGAGAAGCTCACACACTTGCAGGTTCGCCAATGAAGATAATTACATAGGTAACAGATACTGAACAAAGGAAATCTCACTAGCAGTGAGTAGAAGTAGGACAAGGAAATATTTAATCTTTCAGAAAGCTGTGCATAAGCCTTTCTGTGCTGTTGCATAAAATATGACTGGAAAAATATTGTATGCCCAGATTCCCTATGGGGACAAAAGAGATCTCCACATTACTCATATTAGTGATGGCTGACATGGTATATACTTCAGCACTTCATGGCAGCAGATTTCCTTCCTTAAATTAGGGCCAAGTATCTTGTGCTGCTCACCCCACATCTGGACCTATGCTGCCCTTTCTGTTAATTGTATTTAAACAAATACAACTATACAAGGGACAGATACAGTGACTATTCTTGAAATAGTTGGAAAGTCCTCCTAAAGACCTCTTTGCCAGATCAACTGTAGCTGAACAATACTTTAAAAAAATATATTGGTCAAAGAAGATCAAGGGAAAATTACAGCCAGAACTTAAGTTTAAAGTATTTTATTAAATGCACTACACAATTTAAATTTTAAAACCTAATGAAAGCCAAGTCTTACACTGATCAGTCAATTTCATTTATTCACTGATATATCTTTTTGGACTGCAACTTAACTGTGGAATGCCAGGTGTCTCTGTAACAGAAAAAGTTGCAAAGATTTATGCAGTGTTATCTCTGCATGTAATGTGTAAGACTATTAGCTTCAAGGCTCCTTTTCAGTGTTAACAAGTCAGTGCAGGGTGTGAAATATAGCATGTCCCACATTCACAGAAATGAAGAATCCTTCCTTGTTGTGGCACTAAAATTAAAATGCTTTTAATAATGACTTTGCCAATTAATTCCTCCTTTTGCAGCTCCACAATGAAAATCTCTGAAGGTTAGATTTAATTTACAGGTATAAGTCCATAGTTACAGACAATTTCTGTGTCACTCTTGCCGGAGCTTTGCGAAGATATTAGTGTTTATAATCTCTCTGCATTTGCTGCTCTTGGACTGATTTATCGGTTTCATCATTTTCTTTGCTCTGTATTTCTGTAACTGGGTAATTGAACTGATTACAGCATACTGGAGTGGAGTCACTGCTTATCCATTTGTCATCTCAACTAGTACCTCTCCATACCTCTTTTATTGCAGAAATTGTAGGAGTGTTTAAATATAAGTCTGTGCCCTTTCAGTGTCACCATAGGAAATGATGCTTAGCTAGTCATACCATAAAGGTTAAGGTGCAGCACAACTCTGTGTGATTATTAGTAGTTAGAACAGTTTCCTAGCAGTAGCATAAGGTGAAAATGTCAGTTGAAAAAATACCATGTTAAATAAGTATCATCCAAGAAGACCGACATTCTGACACACTTGGGGAAAAAAAAATTAATTCTTTACTGAATAGGTTTTCATTCAGGTGGAATTTTAATTAAATGGTGAACTTAGAGAACATCACAAATCTAAATTGTGACGACATAAATGAGACCATAGCTTTTGTTCAATTATTTTTAGTCCTCTGTGCTGTACATAGAAAAAGTTTTGGAGTCCATACTATGCTCTTTTCTCAGATTATTTTATATTTTAATTGCAAATGTTTTACACTCTTATCTTGAGGCCATGCCACTGCGAACAAAATGAGTGAGGAAAAGTAAACATTATTTTGATATTATAGATGGAGAACTGAAAGAGGATAAAATTACTTTAAATCACAACAGAAGTTGTAAAGGAGGAAATTAAATGCAAGTCTTGAGTTTATATTTTACTTACAAGACCAATCTTTTCCTTAGTGTTTAATATTAAATTCCTTCATAATGAAATTCAGTTAACTCATATAGGATCAAGAATGATCTTTATATGTGTGAAGAGGGGGAAGGGGGTAAAAAAGAATTAGAGAGAGAGAAAAATCCACCAACCAGTAAACCCAAGGCCAGGTTAAGGAGAAACAGAGATTCCTGGTAAAAGGAAGCAGCCAGGTAGCCCATTTTAATACTGAGTAGAAGGCAGTTTGTAGTAACGGTAAAATTGAAATGTTTGCTTATTTAAGCAGTTTAAAAATAAGCCTAATAAGATAGTTTCAGAAATGTTTTGATTTCAACAGTCACGTTGTGGTCAGTTGTCATCCTGCTGAAATAAATATGCATCGGAAAAAGAAATATTTATGACAAAAAAAAGTAAATATGTATGAGACAAGATAAACAGGAAAGTGCGGGAGTTAAGCTGACTGGTTTTGAGTTACAGCCAGAAAGTTCTTTGTTTATCTCTCATTAAAATATCTGTTTCTGTAGGACTGTGATAGCCAATACTGCAAAAGTGGCAAATTAAACCTAAAACTTATAGTCTTAGGGAAGTTTCATGACAAAGCCATTTACTACACTTGCTTTATTGTCCTTTTTTTTTCTTTTTCACTTCTTTTACTTTATTAAACATAATGAAACATAATCTTTTATTCATTGCCTTGAAGCCTGGAAAATTAAATGTTCAGTATTAGGTTAAGAAATTTAGAAATACTGAGATTTTGGTTAAATGGTTATTAAAATATCACCAAGAAAATTATTTCTTTGTAATTATAATCGGGGCTTTGAAACAAATGAAGGAAAATAACAGTTCCTGAATATATAATTTGAGATTTTTAAAAGATCCTGTGTATTCAGTCGTGTATGTATATTAACTTTGGGGGGAAGGAGACGAAAATCAAGAGCAATGTAATTGTCTAAAGACTAATATTCTGATGCTGTCTTTTTCAGATCTGTTGCGGAAGCCACAGAGGTTGATCTCAACATGAGGGTTGGATTGCATACAGGCAGGGTGCTTTGTGGGGTCCTGGGTCTCCGAAAATGGCAATATGATGTCTGGTCAAATGATGTGACTTTAGCTAATGTAATGGAAGCTGGAGGACTGCCTGGGTAAGTCTGAAAAAGAACCATAGAAAAAGAAACCTGTATGGGTGAAGAATTTATTTCCTTCTTTGAGGCATTTTCAGTGGAATTGCTGTTGATAAGAAGGGTTGTGTTCAGTAAGAGCAATCAATGTATTATGTGATTTATCGTGTGGAATTCTCCAAATGATCTTGATATTTACATTAGTAATAGGTTAGATTAGAAGCAAAACATTTCCAAACAAAATCCTTATTAAAAGCTGCCAAATATAAAGAGTAGGAATGAGGCAATACTAGGAATGTGGGAATGCTAGACTTACACCATTTCATGTTATAAAAGTAAAACCGTCTAGTTATTCCAGGAAATTTTTACCCTTGCACCTCACACATGTAGGGGGTGTGTCCCTTACTCCTTTTACATGGCAAAATTTCCAACACTAGTAGTGTGTTTTAGAAAAAAATAGATGTTTATGCATTCAAATGTTGATGCTATGTGTGTTTAAATGATACAGTAGCACATAAACCTGCAGCCAACCCTTGCAGGCATGTCCTGGAACTTTAGGTACCGCTTGAACAGCCTGGGACCCAATTTAAATGCACACAGTGCAGTGTACAGAGGTGCATGGGTGTGCTTCTGTATGCAACTCACATTTGGACTGCTACCTACCATCCTCTTGGATTTTTACAAGATCATGATTTGCTGAAGAGGGGGACAATGGAACCTCTTCATTTTTGTGGTTAAGATGGGTGAATTTCTGTTTGTTACATGTGTCTGCCTTAGACAATTTTGGCAGTGTATTTTGTATGTTCCTTACCTTAAGCCTTTCCAGAGAAAAAAAATCTGAACGTGTTTAATAGAGGAAAGCAGTAATATCTTTTCAGATATCTTCTGTGAAGACATTTCAAATGTAAGGGGTCTTTTGGGAGAAAATGTGAAGACAGTTTTCAAGATAAGAAAACTCATAAATGCTGTCAGATGGCTGTGCTACCAAAACAAAGTGAATTAGAAAGCTGCCTACAAAACGGAGTGAATAAATGAAACAAGTCAGAAATGTGAAGAACGGAAACAGAAGTTTCTTCTCTCTAGGAGAGATTCATAGCGTGAAGTCACGAGTTTCAAGCAGCAGGATGTTTTTGCAAGCAGGCAGTGAGGTAAACACGCAAGAAAGTCATACAATGTGGAAAATGATGAGCAGACTTTCACTTTCTACAAGTCAACAAATCTGCAATGCTTGGACAGTCAACAGTTATCTTTCTGTTCACTCTGCTCAAGTTCAGAAAATGCATGTAATAGAAATATTTCTATGTTTTATTTGGCTGAAAAGACAAAACAAACTTTTTTTTTTTTTTTTTAACATTAAAAATGGAGTTTTGCACATAGCTTGACCTCTTTATGATTCTGCACAGGAGTGTATTTCAGTAGCAACTAGCTCATATTATGTCTTTGCTTTAAACAACAATGTCCAATTTTTCTCTTCAGGAAAGTTCACATTACAAAGACCACCTTAGAGTGCCTAAATGGGGACTACGAGGTAGAACCAGGATATGGTCATGAAAGGAACAGTTTCTTGAAGAAGCATAATATTGAAACATATTTTATTGTGCCATCCCATCGTAGGAAGGTAAGGTCAAAAAAATTCTAGCTTATTCCATGATATGTTTTTGTAATTTAACAACTGTTGTGTGACATTCTGACAGCAGAGGCAATACTGGTATTTCCTATTTCTAAAAGCTCTACAAAATTCTCTTGAAATCAGATCTTTTATTTTTGACTGAGGCAGGAATACTAAAAAAATCTAACCTTGAACATTACATAGAGAATATTATCAATTTACTTTTGAAATTTAAAAATTAATTTAAAAAAAAATTTCCCTTTAACCCTCAAAAATGAAAACTGCTGTTTTATTCAGATTCTGTAATCATTCTATGAGAAATTATGTTACTTCAGAAATTTAATTTAGTCTTCCTTTCTTCCTCCCCTCAAAAGAGTGTTTCAGAATATTAATGCTCACAGCTAGGCTATTTTTCTTCTAGTTTTCTTTACTCTTTCATTCCCATATTCCCATGCCATTTTACTCGTGCTCTCCTAACCCTTTCCACAACCACTTGTGATACTGGTGGCTCCTTTACCGGGCCTGGAGGATTCCCCAATGAATAGACATAAAGAAGTAGTATTTACAGACATATCATGACCACAGCAGAAAAGTTAACCAAATGAATTCATCACTGATTGAACTAATATCCCCTTGAAGTGTGGAAAAACTGCCATGTTGCCAAGCTGTACAACACAAGCCCTTTTATCCAGGTCAGAGGAAGAGGCTGCAGTCAACCATCCTGCTTTCGAATGTATATACCACTGTACCACAGATCAGGTATTTATGCTGAAGCTGAGTAAATTTTCTAAGATTATTGCAACAAATAATATATTCTCTATCCAAAACATGCATGTTTTTTTCTCCTGGTAAGTTGAGCTGCTCATGACAAATTCAATGTTTTCCTTGCTTGGTCTGTCACTTCAGACTCCCACAGTGATTTTGCTCATCCTTTTCTTATCATAGCTGCCCTTCCCTCCAAATTTTCTTAAGTTCCCCTCTCCCCTCAGCTTCTTCCTTTTGTTAGACCCCTGGAGATGTACTGGGGAAAGAGGAGTAAGTCAGCAGTGCTGTTGAGGGACAATAACGTTTTCTGCTCTTTTCTTCTTTTTGGTGGAGAACAAAAAATGTAAAGTGTGGAAAGAATAAGGTAAGAAGATTTTAGCTCATTTGAGCAGGAACTTCATTTCTTAGATGTTGCTCAGGATTTAGCCACCCCTGATGGAGGTGGGTGGACTGCTCAGTCTAACCATATTTTAAGGGCAAGGAGAACAAAGGCCCAGCAGTATAATGGTAATATCTTGAGTCTCAACATGCAGTGAAGGTTGTGACAGTGTTTTTTTCAACAGGTTCATGTATAGTCATACCTTTATTCCTCAAACAGTTATTGAGTTTAGGGCAGCCTTTTGTTCTACTGCAAAATGTTTTGTGACCTCACTAGGAGTCTTGAAAGTGCATAATCATCATTTAAACACATTCAGTTTGTTCTAACCTTTTCCACATCAAATGAGGCTTATCTTAGAAGTTACCTGCCATAACATGTTTCCAGGCCAAGAGGAACTTTATTGCTCTTTATATCAGACAGACAACTCGGGATAGAGACTTTTGCACCTTTAACTTCTGAGACTCTTCCTGAACAAGTTTAATTCAGGGATTTGACCTTTAGAGGGAAAATTATAACATCCAGTTCTGAAAGTAAGTATGAAAACAATATGAATGAGGTTTTAAATTGATGTCAGAGTTCCATGGCTCCATGACTGAGGTGTTAGATGATTTTTTGACAAAAATGTAACCAGGGAAAAATAGGTCATCTTGAATTCCATGCCCACAGTCAGTTTCTTGGTCTGAATTCGATGACTCAGGGAGTTTTTATGGAAATGTAGGGAGACCAGTCACCTGGGGGATTTGAATCTGAGAGTAGAAACTCCTGTTGTTTTATCCCAGAAAGGCTGCTGCAAGGGTGTTTTTTTAATGCACTTTCTCTAAAGCATCTTGTTATTAGAGCAATGGAGTTTTCTCATCTGCTGTGAAAATCATTCAATCTCATGTTTTGTATGCTTCTGCTGGTATATATGATTCGATTCATTTTTAGGTAATATGAAAGAAAACAGGTGGAAAACCGGTGGGCTAGCTTCTGTTTTGGCAGTCAGTGAGGGATTTTCTGGTGCCTTTCATGAAATCAGAATTAGTTCCTAAATTAACCAATCCCAATAAAAAAGAAAACACAAGGAAGAGTTTAATTCAAGTTAGGTGTGTTTTTTATTGCTGCTAGATTTGTTTGTCTTGGTTTATTGTTCTTTTCACTCATGCAGCATTATGTATAATTTCATTTCCTATGTTATTATATATCCAGTTTCTTTTCATACCGAGAAGAGCTGAATTTCAGAAAATTGTTGATAGGTTGGTGCACAGAGACAAGGGGATAAATATGGCTATTACACATAAAAACTGTGTTGTGTCAACTCCACTGCATAAACCAATGATTGAGGAACAGAAGCTTGACATTCACATAATGAAGTAAACCAGGTCAACACATGTTTAATGTGCAAGGATGAGAACCTACTACTGTGTGAGCACACATTTCTTTGTCTTTGCAAGACTGCTGAGAAACTAGTGGTGACTGCTGAGAAATGACTGATTGGTTTATCAGCTCCATAAATCAAATGCCATCTTACCCAAGGGTGTCACTGATGGGTTTGTGGAAGTGGCAGATCATAGAATCATAAAATGTTTTGTTTTGGAAGGGGCCTTAAAGATCATCAATATCCAACCCCCCTGTCATGGGCAGGGACACCTTCCACTAGCCCAGGTTGCTCAAAGCCCCGTCCAACCTGGCCTTGAACACTGCCAGGGAGGGGGCAGCCACAGCTTCTCTGGGCAACCTGTGCCAGTGTCTCACCACCCTCACAGTAAAGAATTTCTTCCTTATAGCTATTCTAAATCTACCCTCTCAATTTAAAACCATTAGCCCTCATCCTGTCACTACACTCACTGATAGTCATTCCCCATCTCTCCTGTAGGCCCCCTTTAAGTACTGGAAGGCTGCTGTAAGGTCTTCCTGGAGGCTTCTCTTCTCCAGGCTGAACAACCCCAACTCTCTCAGCCTGCCCTCGTAAGGGAGGTGCTCCAGTCCCCGGATCATCTTCGTGGCCTCCTCTGGACCCTCTCAAGCAGGTCCATGTCCTTTGTATGTTGGGGACCCCAGAGCTGAACACAGCACTCTGGTGGGGTCTCACAAGAGCAGAGTGGAGGGAGAGAACCACCTCCCTGTACCTCCTGGCCAGACTTCTCTTGATGCAGCCCAGGATACAGTTGGCTTTCTGGGCTGTGAGCTCACATTGCTGGGTTATGTTGAGCTTCTTGTCAACCAACACCCCCAAGTCCTTCTCCTGAGGGCTACGCTGAATCCACTTATCTCCCAACCTGTATTTGTGCCTGGGATTGCCCCAACCTATGTTCAGGACCTTGCACTTGGCCTTATTGAATTTCATGATGTTTGCGTGGTCAAACCTCTTCCCTTATCTACCAGTGCTGTAACTCCATCATAGAAGGCCACCAAATTTAAAAATAGGGGTTATGTTTTCCCTTTTCCAGTGAGCAAGATGCTTATGTACAGATGCTGTGCTACAGCTTGACTGACAACATTAGCACTCCAACATGCATCAATGGCGTGTCGGCTAAACTGGCAGAAATAAACACTTCATGAATTTTACTGGTATTGACTGGCTTCTCCACTGGGCTCGCAGATAAATCAGCATGTCACATCACTCTATATCACAGCACATCACGCCATCCCCAGTTGTCGTATACTTGCATGCTGATCATTAGACCACAAGCTACATAACAGTATATTTATCTTCAAAATAAACACCTGCTGTCCCCTCCTACCCTAATTCAGTCATTAACTATTCAGAGACAGAATCAGAAGGCTACCCAAGAAGCACAGACGAGATGGAGTTTTTTAGGTGAATGCAGGTATCTGCTGGTTTAATATTGTATTCCTTCCTCTGGAGCCTCAGTAGCTAAAATGTAGACATTTTTTATTCTCTGTGCATCATCTCTGACATTAATATGAACTGACCTTAGCAGGTATGATGCCAAGAGGAATGAAAATCAATGTTATGAGCAACAGATGGCCAAGAATCTGTTGAATTTGAAAGGTAAATAGGCCCACTTAGAGACTTTTTATTTATTTATTTAGAAGACGCATACCCCACATTCTTCCCTATTTGGTCTAACAGGAAGATCTTTCATCACAAATATCACCCAAACCAAGGATGAGAATAACAGTATAAGATGACTCATTCATGTATCAGTTACATTTTAAATGTGAAAAAAATATAAAGTATTCCAATTTTTTTTAATCTTCTATTGAATCATCCACAATTCTGTCATCTGATCTGATTGCTAGTTTGGTGTATACACTAATATATGTGAGAGCAATTCTAAGTGGCCACTGAGGGAATGATTTCCTTTTTGTTTTGTTATAGGGAGTTTTTTTGTAGAGATTATACAAATCTGTTGTTGTTGTTATTATTAGTATTACTATTGTTATCGCTATTAAGCAATAATTATGCATGTTTGACTGGATAAAATTCAGCTTCTAAATAGACAAATAATTCATCTTATTTCCAAAGTCATACAGAAACTTTTTGAATTAAATTTATTTTTTTGCTGGCCATCATAGTTAAAAAATTATGCAAATATGCTTTTTAAATATAATAAAATAATTCCCTGACAGCTTCTAGTGCTGAAAATGCCAGTACATTTCTTTCAAGTAAAGTTTAATTGTGTCTTTATAATACTTCATATTGATACTAAAACTTACAGTGATGTGACCAAAATATTGCACTGAGACAAGGTTTGAAAAGTTTAATTAGTGTAACTAGCCACAAATCTGACTGCATACGTGAATGTCTTGGGCTTTTAAAACAGGTCTGATCCAGATAGAAAAGCAGATCTCTTTATAAAATATTAAATATTCACAAGATCTACACTCTATGCTTTAGAGTATGGACATTGTCTTAGTT